AAAAGAAAAAATTTATTAGAATTTTCATTTGATAAATGTACACTGAATAAGTATTTCAATCAGATCTGCTGAAAACGAGCAACAAGAACAGTTCTTAAATTCGTTATTTGAGCAAATTACCCATCTTTCCTTTCCAACTTTTCCTTTTATTCTCTCCAAATACTTCTGAAGTATTGAAGAAATTTCAGAAAAGTTGCCGCCTGCAAAAAAAAAAGTTAATTATTTCTCCTTTCTCCTTTAAATAAAGTTTTAGATTAATACTAAAGAAAAAAATGGCTATCTAAAAATAAATTTAATATTATCTTCAGTTGTCTATTTTTCATTTTTGTTTCTCGTTAAAACTTGTTAATAAAAAGTTTTCTTTTGAATATTTAATTGCTACTTTTTTTTCTGAGAATTAAAGTTAAAATGACTGTCTCAGGTTAACTGGAATATGGAAGAGCATTTGAAAAATGATTTCTGTTTTTTTTTGAGATTTTATGGTCCATTTGTTAGTGCTTATTGAATCGTACAATCGTTTCACGGATAACTGTCAAAATAAATTAGGTGCAGTTGAGCAATTTTTTGACTATTTTTTGCACCTACCTGATCCTGATCCTCTCGTGGTAGACTGATAAGAATGCCGTTTAGAATTAGGTTAATTTTAGCAACGTCTCGTGACCGTATCAATAACGCAATTTCACCCTTCTGTTCTGGCGAAAGTCGATCGACAGCGTCTAACAGTGTAGTTGGAGGTCCAAATTTTTCTAATATATTTAAAGCTTCAAATTTATCCTAAAAATGGCAGTTGTTTTAGGATCACTTTGACAAAAAAAAGTAGTCTTCTTTGATGGTTTAAGGTTATATGGTGTTTAAGAAATTTGAGTAAAAGAAAGATGACTTACTGAATTTGTTGATCTTTTCAGCACCGCGTTGTAAATCGTTCTGACAATAAGTGTGAAGTCCCATTCCTTAATCCCCTTATTGACAGCATTCTCAAATTCTGTATCGTATCCAATAATTCTATCTAATTTCCGCGCAGCTCTCATTTCTGCTTAAAAATCAAAAAAGGAAAAGAGACTAGCAAAATTTTGAAGTTATAGACTAGATAAAGTGAACAATTATATAAGGGAAAACTTGTTTCATTGTTTCAATTATGTTATTCGGGTGTTTGTTAAAGGTTCAAACGATACAACTTTGGTTTTGCAAGGCTGTAAATTTGATTTTTCTAATAAAAAACCTTCAAGATTTAAAGCTGCTGCAATAGGGTCACCAACTCTGGAGTAAACTGGAGGCGGATTTACTTTAACTTTCAAGATTGGCCATATTTTATACAAATAATCATCACTAAATAGTGTAAAATTAACATGTCAGTAAAAAAAAAGTTCAAAACTCTCTAATACCTGTATAATATGTCATTTAATTCTAAATTTACCAAAATTCTTTGATTAAAAAAAAAAATAATTAGAAAAATTTTCATTTTTTTTTCTTTTAAAATTTTTTGTGTACTTAAATACAGCGACCAATCAAAAAGTTGTTTACTGCTTAAAGATATAAAAAAAATTATTATTATCAAAAAAAAAAAAAGCAGCAGAAAAAAGATACGCTTTTTCATTGTATTGTTGCGATTCCACAGGTTTTTCAACGATTGAATTATCTAAAAATATTTAGCTAAAAGTACCAAATAACTTTAAAAGAAAAAATTGAACAAACAAATATTTGTTTGTAATACTATTACCACTTGTATAATAAATACGACAAGTTTTAGTCTTTTACCTGGTGTCTTCTCAAAATTTTCGTTGTTTAAAATAAAAGCAGTAACTGACGATGTTGAAGCCAGGATAAACATTAAAATCAATTTCTGCATTCTAACTGACAATTCTTCAGACTTTAGATTACCTTAAGTTTGTAGGGTTAAAGCAGTAGAGAGACTATCACTAAATTTACCCTGAAATTTAAATTTAGCCACAATAACTAAAAACAATAATCCGGTAAATAGCAGTAAAAAAATGCAACAATAAACTGCTGCTCAAAAAACAGCAAAATTAATAGGATATAATTAAAACTGTAAAGCACACCAAATTACAGAATAGTCAAATCACTTTCTGCTAAACATTATACTAAAAGCAAAAGAAATAACTACAGGAAAAACATTGGTCAAAGAGTCATCTGTTCAGAAGACAACAGTAAAAAACCTGCTAATTTCATGAGTAATGGTATAACTTTAATACATCATTTAAAGACAATGCTTTTTTCAAAACTGCCAGTTGAAACACTGAACATTTTTTACACTGATTTTGAATATCAACCAAAAATAAAAGATTAATGTTATTTTGAATAACTTAATCAGATTACTGTCTATTTATACTATAAAACAAGCCTTTTTTTGGCTAGACTGTACCAGTGTTCTGTTCTGTTAGATTACATAACTATATATCTTCCCAGGTAAACAATGATTCCAAATAAATATGTTATTGCTATAATACTCGGGTATTTCGCTGCTAAACAGTTTTATCACATTTCGGCAACAACGGCCAACAACAACAACAAAAACCCGACTAAAGAATAATGAACGAATTGATTTGCAAATTTTGACCAGGAAATACCAAAACATAAACTATCATCAAATCGGAGTTGTAAGAAATATGAAATAAACAAAGCGGCAAAACCCATCATACAAAACAAATAATTTTTTAAAAAGCAGAAAAAAAAGAAAGAGAAGAGAAAAATAATTAAAAAAATTATTACTTGGAAATCTCAGTAATTTTTTAACGGTCAAGTGCTTTCTGTAGCTTCTATTCTTTGAGAACTGCCGGCTAAGTTTTTTTTTAAATTTTTTTTATATTTCTGTTCATTATTCATTAGAAAATCATAGTTTTTCAACTTTTGCCGGAACTTCCCGGAACGATGAAGGAACAATAGCCAGTAAAAAAATGTTCTAAAATTTGAATCAATTTTTAATAATTAACTGTTTTTCAATCTTTCAATGTTTTTGACCTTTTTTAGCAGATAACAACTACAGGTATTTCAAAGTTCGCCTTATCCATACTTCAATTAAATTTCAAAATATTACACTTCTTTTTTGAAATATAGTTTTTCTTTCGAAAAATTTTTGAAATTACGTTGCACTTATAATTTGAGCAATAAATAGACTGTTTGTTTGCAAAACGTTTAGAAGCGACTAATTTTAAGAAATAAAGTCTATTTTCAATAACTAATAACCAAAAAAGCTACTGACCAACTTTTATTTAGAACGACTGGGACTTTCAAGGAATATTTCTGATAACTGGTAAAGAAATTTGCTTCAAAACTTTCCACATCTGTTCCACTGTTTAGCTTTATTATTTTTAGAAAAAGTTTGAATGTTGCACACAAATATAGTGGTAAATTTTATTTATTAGTGCTATTTTTACTAAATTTTTTCAACCATCTATCTTCAGAAAAGACAAACTATTGAAAAAAATATCGTTGCACTGTTAATTTTTCAGTCTTACTAATCTTTATCTGGTTTTTTATACGCATTTAAAACAGTCAAATACTGTGTTTCACTTCTGACTCATTATTGTCAAAGCAAACCAGCTTTACAAATTCAAACTACGAAATTAACGTAGTAATAGACATCTTTACAGACAAGAGAAATTTTGTATCGTTTTTTATGAAAATCAGAAATCAAATAAGGCTGTGAATGCTTCAGCAAAAAATTTCTCGTTCTATTTCATTAAAGCATTTCTAAGAATTTTTCGGTAATTACTATGGCGAAACCGGTTCAGTGCATCAAGAATTATGATAGTTAACTTCTGGCTTGATAAATTTGCAATAAAAAAAAAACAAGTGTATTTTTCTCGTCTTTATGACTTTATCGTTTTTTCAAGTTTGTTTTTATAAGAACCAATTTCTTAGCAAGATTTTTGTTGTCAGGCAGAGTAACCCAACTTTTTTTTCATAATTGCTTAGGACAGTCATAACAGTGTGCAATGACAGTAGAAATTTGCATCTTTTTAAAGCTTTACTAGATTTCATCGGATGCTAATTCGGCAGCACATATTCATCAGGCAGAAGTTGCAAAAGGCATCGAAAAAGCACTGGCAAAAAGCGATAAGTAAAATTTAGGTTAAAGATGTTTTCAAAGTTTTGTCAGACCGAACGATTCAAATTTTTTTTCATATTAACTTTCTGGTATTTTTGCTTGTTATAAGTGGTTACAAAACGTTTTTTGAAGTTTTCTAAATTTTTTTGAAAGGAAAGATAAGTACACAGTCTGAACACTGAATTAATGTGAAAGTCTCGTGAATTTTGAACGTTTCTACGTTTTTCAAAAGACAATATCTCAATTTACGTAGAAGGGCAAAGATGACATGACATCCGGGTTTTGAATTTGTAAATTATCAAATTTGATTTACTTAGCGAATGCACATGTAGAAGTAATGTTCCAACGCCTCGCCGGACCCAAATATTTGTATTACATCGGCGTCTATAAAGGAGTAAGGCAATCAGTAGGCTTTAAGAAGTGTAATTCGATTTTATCCCTATGAAGCTAAAGAATAAGTTGCCGCAGTGATGCACTTTGTTTGGAAGATGTTCAAAAATTTGTAGTGAAACCTGTTCTAATGTCAACTACAGAGTTTTATTTGCAGTATATCGTCAAATCTGAGAGGAGTGAATGTTTGATAAACAGGATTTGTTCGTCTTTATACGTGGCTGCGCAACAGTCAGGTGCAAAAAGTGATTGTGTTGGGTGAAACGTGATAAAAAGATTGTATGTCGTAATTTGTTTGTAGCTGTTGTACCAAGCTGTTGCTTTTTGAGTGGAATTTCACTAAGGTTATTTACGATTCACTACAGATTTCCTTTTTGAAACCTGCTAACTAAAGAGAAGAGTTTGGGGAAATTTGCGGTCAGTAAGGCCTTTTATGGAGGATAAAAAAAAACAACTCGGAAAGCGGAATGAACTTAAGAAAATGAGAAGTGCAATCTTTTTTATGAATATCTAAAATATATTTTTGTTCTCTCCTCTGTTCCGTAATTTTATTATACATCCAGTAGATAACTGAAAAGTTTTAGAACTTTTTGGAAAGCAAAAACACTGCTTATTTTCTCGTCATTTTTTAGTCTCATTTTAACTGCTTTTAATGTGTAATTATTCTCTAAACTTGCTTTCTATAATACTGCCCAGCATTTTTCGCCAGTTTTGCTAATGAAATATAAATGCATCAAAACAATTTATTTTTAGGTGCACCACATTCTCATGACTGATTGTATTGGCGCTCAATGTTTTATGAGTAATAATGCATCGTTAAAAAACCTTTGATACACTGTAAGAATTAGTTCCAATAGCTGTATTCTATAACATATATCTTAACGTGCTCTTTTTGTTCATATTTTTAACCGCTTTTAGTATGTAAAGTTCTTGACTATATTACGTTTACGTGCTAGAACCTTCGTGTATACAAAACTGTCGCTTATTTACTACCTGAAAGTTTCATATTTGCTCGAATAAATCTTTTTGCTGCGACATTTCAAAACCAAGAAAGACTTCTTGTGAAAATAAACAAATAGTGATTGCATTTATTAAAGCCAGAACTTTGAAAAGCGATAGTGAAAAAAACAGATAGATTTTCTAGAAGGTTAATGAAAGTGCGTTAGGAAGAAAAATAAGAATAAGAAGAGAAAAATGCACTGAAAAAAGCAAATCTTTTAAAATTATCAAACGTTTGTCGCAAAAAGTTATAAAAAGCCTCATTTAAATTTCTGTCAGTCTTTAAAACATAACTTGCAGATTCAAATGCTGTTGGTAATAATACTTAATGACCTTACTTTAGGTTTTAAGGTAAAGTGAGCTCTGCGACCTCTGTAAGTGGGGTCTTCGCATGAGATAAAGAGGCAGAAGAACGGAAGATGGAAAACAGCTCTGCATCCTATCGAGTGACGTTGTATGAAGCGAGACCTGACCGAAATTGAAAATAGATGTAAGTTTGGTGAAAGTTTTTGTAACAACTGACAAAATTAAAACTTTTTTAAAATTAGCATCGCTTAGTCTTGACGACAAGTTATCATCTGCTTAGTTTATGCAGCACTTTTAAACCTGTTTTTGCTTAGCATTATCATCTAAAAGACTGATGAGAATAAGAAAATTGTGATTATTTAAATATATTAAATTGGGCAACCTTTCTAAACGTTTTATTAATTTACATAATAAACAGCAATCTTTTAAACGTTTCCTTAGCAGCACAAATTTTACAGCAAAGTATCAAAAAAAATTTTTTTTCTCTTTATTTTTTTATCTGCAGGAATACTAATGAAGGTATCTATGAAAAAGCTAAAAAAAAGCTGCTAATTTTTAGAATAAATGCTACAATAAATAGTCAGAGTCAAGCAAAAGATTTTCTAGTATCAAAATTTTTTTATTACCATCAAAAATTTCAAAAGAAAACGCATTTTGACAGAAATAAATGTGAAAGCGGTAAACAGTGTCAAAAAATTTTTTTAAAAAAAAAATCAAACATGATTCGACGTAGTGGTAAGCTGCATTCGTCAAATACCATACTGCAAGTGTTTATAGAATTAGTTCTAACCTTTAATAATTTAGGTGGACTGACTCAGGAGAAAGAGCTCGACTCTCTGTCCTACAGAAAAGGATTGGTTATTGGCATCGAAACAATTGTGGAGGCATTTAAGACCATGTACACTGATGACACGTAAAATTTTGTCCAGCTAAAACTGTTGTGTATTTGAGGGCTCAAGAAATTTTGCATTGTCAAGACAAAATGGACGGCAGATTCGGAATACGGGTTAATGGCTAATAAATGGATGTTTTATGCCGCTTTTGTTTTTGTTTACAATTTTGATCTGCGATAAATAGTTTGATTGACTGTGATGGCGAATACCATTTTCAGGGAGCGAATACGAAATATTGGAGACTTTAGGAAAGAGTGCATAATAATCTATTCAGATTGTCAGACACGTAAAGAAAAATCTTACACGCTTCTTGGTGCGAAAGCCATCCTTGATTATATACCATTGTGTTAGTGTTTATTCTGTTCCAGCGCCTTTGTAACTCTGGCTTTACAATACTGCCGTATTTGGTAACTGCAGAGGGTATAATAGTTCAGGAAATTTTTTGACAGTATCTGCCTTGTTTTTCATCTGCATACATAAGACAATAAACATATCCAGCGACTGGTTTATATCATATTTCTCCCACTGCTTAATCGTTCAATTTAGAGATGTTTTTTTCTCTTGCAATAAATTTTTTTCTTGAATGTTTTATTCAGTAATCTCTTAGAAGGAATATCATATTGTTAGAAAGAAACTGAGTTTGGTTCGAGTTGAAAAAAACTTTTATTTCTGGTTTCATATTTAATTAATTAAAATAAAATTTCTTTTTTTTTTTGCTATAATTATAGTCAATAATTTTTTGGTTTGGAAAATACTTTCTTGATTTGCAGTTGTAAAGTTTTGCCTTCTAAGAGCAAAAAAAAATTATTTTCTTTTGAAATCATTCATCAACTTTAAACTTACCCAATAACTAAATAAGTCTGTTCTGTTGGATGTTCATTTGGTATAATACCGTCAAAAATAACCGATAATTTGCATTGCAGATAAAAGTTTTTTCTCACAGCTTATACTATACTACAATTTTTCACTAATACAGATACTGTAAATAAAATATTCGTGAATAATTTAATTTCAAATATATTTAGCAACACATGACTACTTATTCTTGAAACAATATCAGTATCTGCTTAATTGGTATTATGGTGAATTACGGTTTTTCGGTCCACCATCAGAAAGAAACTTTTATTTTCAGGAAGCAAAGGTCAGTTACTATTGCTCACCGTTTAATGCAGACTAAAAATTTTAGGTAACTGTTACAAAAGGAAAGCACTTAAAAACATCGATGACTAACGATGGTAAATAAAAATCATATCTGTAAACAAGGATCTGAAAAAGAAGTTTTCTATAGCTGAAAACTTAAAACATTCCTTTTTTCTTTTTATTTCACCCAAAACATAAAATATATTATAACAATCAGCAGAAATCTTTCTGCTGAAACAGTTACGGTACTTTTTTGGCCGCAAACTTGACTGTCACTTTTAAACTATAATTTACTATCGCAATAAGTTCTTTTTTCGTACCTTAATAGAAAAAATTGGCCATAAGTGTTAAAAAATAGCTTCAGATCAAATATAAAATAATGTTTGACCTACAAGTAAACCTTTCCGATAGGGAAAGATTGTCAACCTACTGTCACTGGTCACAGCTTTGTTACTGGTACGCAGAATATGCTGATGAAGAATCATTACGTTGGTGTATTGATGCCGTTAAAAGAGTGACAGATGGACTGACAAGTAAGTCTGGTTTGTGCAGTCTAAGCAGCTCCATATAAAAATAGTATTGTTGCCTCAGTATGTTTATCCTGTGCTTGAGATAATCCTATTTTTGCAATTATCTTTTACTAAATTAGAACTATTAATAATTGATTTGAGATAGCACGTAGTATCCTCAAACCAGCACGTATTATTTCCTTTGAATCTGCTGCGTGATTAAGGAAAATAAAGCTGGATTCAATATGGCAGTCAACCTTTCTTGTCCCATTTATGTAATTTAAAGCTGGTTAAACTAAAGACGATCGGCAATTAGACGACGGCATAAAGTTACCGGATTTCTACTTTGCAGAAATTGTACTGAGAAACGTGGCGCTCAAAGAACTCATGGAAAGTACTCCCTCCTCAGATTTGCCACCATCACGAACACTGAAAGCAAAAAGAGAAAATCTAAAGGAACTCCGTCCGATATATGATTCGCTGGAAGCCATTACTGACAATGTAAGTAAATGTCAGAACGTCCGAGCAGATCTTATCCGACACAGAAAGTGAAAAGTCAAAGATTATGTTCTTCACGTCGGCGTTGATAATTAGGTTATATCAGTCAGTTACAACTGATTAGTTTCCTCAGCGTAAATCAGATACCCAGTCAAATCTTGTCGACTTTGCAAAGGTGAAACTTCTTTTGACTTTGACTGTACTATTTGAGTCTTTTGATTTCAGCCATCTAAATCCAAACTTTGCTATTTTGACATAAAAACTTATACTTAAAAAACAGAATTCTGCGGTAGATATTACACTTAAGTTGCCTTATATTATTTCTTTCCCGGATTCTAAATCGGAATTGAACCTAATAACCGTTCCCAATGTTGTTATAAATTGAAGATGATGACTATACGTTTTACTGAATCAAATTTACAATTTTTTTCTGCCAAAATGCTTGTCCAAAAGGACAATAAAAAAACTTTCTTCAAGATTTAGTTTTAAAACAATACAAATGAATTTACAAATTGGCACGAACAGTAAGTAGTTTAAGTGTGAGAAGTTGAAGGCACAAGAAATTCACAAAATACAGTATTACCGGCTGTTCATAGGCACCAAGATTGAAAGGCATCGGAATCTCATTTAGTTCTGGAGATTCAAAACAAATACGGAAATAAAATGATGCGACCCTCAAAAAAACATTGATGCAATAATTCTAGTGTAGATGTTTGTAAATTAATAGAAGTTTAAGACTGAAAAGCCCGAAACAAGAATTACATATTTGATGTTCATATTTTTCTGAATAATGAAGAACTAAACGCGTCTTGACAAATTCTTGCAACTTAATAGAGCAACTTTATCAAGCACAAAAAAAAACGAAACAAGTGTGGAAGGTAGGTCCTTGATAAGAGTGAAAAGACAGCAACTTTTGGCGGTACTCAGCAGAACCTCTTAGGAGATATTAAAAATTAATGCCGGCGGTCCGATGTAGTTTCGCGTTTGTAGCTATATTCCTGAGATGCTTCACTGAAATAAATCCTCATTTAAATTATGATTTAAAAGTAAGAAATCATTTTTAAATAATAAGTGGAAATAAGTTCCGCCACCAAACCTGAACTGTGTAGGTCGTCCTTCTCTATCAAATCGATGTCCACTATCGCTCCTTTCCTCGTGTTGAAAAGTTTCATATCCACCAGGTATTTGCTCATGACGTCGTTCTTTCTTGTGTGTGTAACCGCCGACGTACGGTAAAGGCATAAGAAGAGAATCCCTGAACTCGTTCTCGATGCGCATCATTTCATCATCACGCCTAAAATTTTTTTCCAGTTGTTGACACCAAAAAAAAA